GATTGCTTAGATATGATTTAAAACGAACTTATACACAGAACAAAAGCAAATATCGGCTGGTAAACAGAACCTGGCGAAAGCAAAATTAGAACTTTTTTTAAAATAATTTGGTAATGTATAAAGATTTTGGGTCCAGTTGCCATTAATGTTGTGTACTAAAATAGAGACACTCTCAGTGTATGGATAAAATAAAAAAATAGAAAAATTAATTCCAACACAGTATGTAGTGCGGCTTCTATTGCCGTTTTTTGAATGATCCAATCTTTAACTTTCAAGCTCAAAGCTGTTTTTCTTGCATCATAAGATGCCTACCTAGACATAATTTCTAATCAATTGCAGCACAGAAAAATCGACCCCACTCAACTAAAAGATGTTTTCCACAATTTTACGACAAAATAATGTTGATAACATCATTAATGATGTTGATGATGTTATTAAAATGAATCATTGCAACAATAAATTGACCACCAAATTTTGCCATAGATCGATTTCATTTTAAAGACCACCAAGTAGTTGCATCAATTTTTTGCAGAATACAAGCATTGGATAAACTCATTTCCGGGCGCCCCTTTTTATGACACTTGAGAAAGAACGATGGCGAATTGAACTGCCTGTTATTTTTTTTTTATTATTAATTTATTAAATGGCACACTATCTAAAATGGAATCAATCTAGAACAGGGTTTCCAGAACTGTGTTCCCCTGAACCTAGAAAAAGTTTGGGAAACCTTGATCTAGAAGATACATTGAAGGAGGCTAAAAAATATTAGAAATTGTGGTAACAATTTCCATCAGAGGGCGAGCGATTCAGAGATTTAATGACCGAGGATTGATTACAGCTCTGTCTATGCTATCTACCTGAAAAAAAGTTTATCCGAAATAGGCAATTTTAATGGCAAAGCTAACAGAAAATTTGAGAATAGAAAAAACCCTACGATAAAGGTAGGTATGTAATAAAAAATATTATAGGGACTTTTTACATATCTGACCCTACCTGAAACACTAGCGGTTTACAGGATCCCAAAGTCTGGAGAGAGAAGAGAGCAAAGCTACCGAACAAAAACCCGTTATGTATGAATCTAAAAACATACTTAAGTGATCAGCATTCACCACGCATTGCCAAGCACTTAAGCAGTACTACAATGGAATGAGCTGCACAATTTTCACAGGATATCAATATTTTTGACCATTGCAAGAGCCGCTTTACCAAACAGGAAAATAAATGCAACCGACATAAAACTACGATAAAATTAGTTAGGTACTTTGTTCTATTTTGTTTATGTTTTTGATCTAACTATTTATGACACCAAAAATACCTTTTTCTGTCCAAATCACAAGCAAAGGTTCTACACTCACTGCCAAGCCAACTCCTTAAAGAGCAAAGCCCTGCAAATATCGGCAGGACTTTTTGCTAAAGTAAGCCTACGGTACGCGGATGTCTTTCCAAAAAAATGCTTTATTATTTTTTCGATTGTCACAAACAAATATATGTGTTGCTTTTCAAATTAAAATGAATTAACATAATGTAAAAGCTACAACCATTTGGTGTTCTAATAATACAAAACTTACCAGAAATAAATTAAACACAACTGAGAAATTCCTTAAAACGTGGAGACCGCTACAAACACATTTACTTATAATGACAGTTTAGATCGTTTGGAAATATTCAAAATAACGTTAGCCCGCGCGGCTCACTTCAGCTTGGAACACCCGACCCATCGTTGGTTGCCAGGTGCATCTACCGAATTATTGGAGACTGTTTTGACGCATGCAAAATCAATTATGTGGTTAACACATTATCACCTTTTTTAGTATGTTAGCATATTGTTAAAGCGTTATTAATTGATTATCCAACAACCTTAAATTTTGAAATTTGTTACTCCCAAATCAATACTATTTTTTAAATAATAAGCCTACATTTTTCCACAGACTTTGGCAATTGAGTTCACATTGGCAGC